TTCAGCCTCAGCTAGAGAAACTCTTCCATAAAGCAAAAAGGTAAGGCAGCAGGTGAGAGTTTTAAATGGAGTTCTCCCTCTAAACTACTAGGAAGTGTCAGCTGGTCCCCGGCGGCGGCAGGCTAAGCTTCCCCTCTGAATTGAACTGACATTCCCTGAGGGATTCAAGAAGAGCACAGGGTGAGTCAGGCAGAGCACAGCCACTTCGCCCGCGCCCGCCGCGCTAACACCTCACAGCTGGGCCCAGGAAAGTCAGAGGCTCTGCTGGCACTGTGGGGTGCTGGCGGGCACTGGAGGCAGCCCTGCCCCTCATCCCAGCCTCCGTCTCCAGCATTCACGCTACGTGCGGGAAGCTCAGTGCTTCCTGCTCGGTCACTCAAGGCCTTCCGTTCTGAGCTCCGCTGGCCCCTCTCTCCAGGACTCCACTCCCCTAGGGTCCAGCCGGCTCAGGCCTGGCTTCGGGGCGCCACCTGTTGAGTGCCCACTGAGTCCCAGGTACCGCACAGAGCAAACAGCTCCTGGGCTTCTCAGAAGGGAAACCGCCTGGGTGGCCTTCCTAAAATATTGAGGACATTCCTAGGTCTCCGCCTCAGAAACCCAGGGGTTTAGGGCGGAGCCGGACTCGGGGGCTGATCGCATTGAGGACAGAGGTAAGATGATGGCAGAGAGCAGCAGGACGCAGGCCCAGGGGTGAGCTCAGCTCTGACCTGACACTGCAGGACTCGGCAGGAAAGCCCAGCCATCTGTGTCTGCTTCCCTGAGGAAGAGCAAGGCTACCACCTCAACCCAGCATGCAGCGTGGGGGCTGCCAGCACCGCGGCTGGGGCGGCACAGCCCGCGCCTGGCCTGGGCGCTGCTGCTTGTATGCTGTATGTTTCTGCCCTACACCCCGTCCCACAGGCACGCTGCCAACACTCCCGCGGCGGGAGCCACGCCTTCACCTTCCCTACAGAAACCCTGTGTCACCCCACGCACCCAGGGGCACTGAGCAGGCTTCTCTGCCGTCAGCCGCCTGGGACTCCGCCCTTGCTAGGAAAGGAGCAGCGGCCAGCAGGTGCACGGCGGCCCCAGAGCCTGTCCAGACGATCACGCACCTGGCCTGCTGGTACAGAAGCCAGCAGCAGCCAGACCCTGAAGGCCCTGGGGAGGGGCTCTGGGAGCAGTGAGAGTACCAGGGAGGAGGGGGGTCACGCTTCACAGCTCCCCCAAAGATATGCGGGAGGGGCAGGCTGGGCAGAGGCCTCTCAAAACCACCTGAGTGTCCAGGGACAGACTCCTCCCTGCAAAGAACCACAGGGCAGGCAGAGCAGCTGGCCATCTTCTTGCAAAGCCACAGCCCACGCTGAGTGTCAAAGGCTCAGGAACAGTACCAGTGGCTGTGAGGCCTCGGCCTGGCTCTTCCACTCGGGGCGGTGGGAGCGTCCCCAGAATCCCCCCTGCTGGCCTGGGCCATGCAGGACTATCGGGGGGTGTCCTCTTGGAAGCTGGGCTGTGGAATGGGGCTGTGCTCCACAGCAGGCTACTCCCCAGGGAGGGAGGTGTGAGACACTGAATGCCACATGCCACCTGGCCTCTTCCAGCAGGGGACACACGCCCAGCTGGGCCGCAGGAGTTCAGCCGGGGTCACAGCCACCAAGGGCAGAATGACAGCAAACTCCAAAGGCACACCAGGGGCCCCTAACACAGTTCCCACTGTGCGCCCCTGGCCTGGGGTCAGCCGAGCTGCCACTGCCACCAGGGCCTGCCCGGCTAGGAGGAGCCTTCCCACCCAGGCACACAGGCACCCAACACCACAGGTTCTGAAAATAGGCACTAAATTTTTTTTTTTTTTTTGAGATGGAGTCTCCCTCTGTCACCCAGGCTGGAGTGCAGTGGTGCGAGCTCGGCTCACTGCAAGCTCCGCCTTCTAGGTTTACGCCATTCTCCTGCCTCAGCCTCCCGAGTAGCTGGGATTACAGGCGCCCGCCACCACGCCCGGCTAATTGTTTGGATTTTTTAGTAGAGACGGGGTTTCGCCGTGTTAGCCAGGATGGTCTCCATCTCCTGACCTCGTGATTCGAATTAGGCACTAAATTTTCAGCATAACATGAGCACTCTCCAGGGTGAGAAGCCATGAAAATCACGTTCGCAAGGTTGTCTGTGAACCGCCACGGGAAGCAGCAACCAGGCCAAGTACCTGACATCACATGGGTGACACCCAGCTCCCTGCAGCTGATGCCAGGCAAGGCCATGAGAGGGTCCTGCCCCCTCTACGAGGCTGTGGTTCCTGCCTGCCACGCCACTCTTGAGTGAGGGCTGTGAAGGAGGGACAAACCCCAGGACTGAGCCCCCCAAAGCTGCCACAGCTGCACTCACCAGCAGTCCCCCAGCCTGGGGATTCTGATGGGCAAGGCCCCAAAAGGCCCACCTGTCCCATCTCTCCGGGCTCAGGGAGCCCTGCTGAGGCCCCTCTGCTCGGAGCGCATGGCCTGGTCACTCACTCCCCAGGCAGAGCCAGTGACCAACGGAGGGCGCTTAGCCGGGGAAGAGGCCGGTTCATAGGCCTGTGCCGTCCAGGGCTCCACGGTGGGGTTGACGGCTCATTCGCCAGGCTAGGGTTTGGGGCAGAGGGGCTTTCTCAAAACGCCCTCAGAGACAAGTGCCTTGGCAGGACCCTGTGCTGCCCGATTCTTCCCCACAGATGCCGCCTACATCTCTCCACCCAGTGGCTGGAGAAGTCTCCAGGGACAGAGAGGGTGGAGCCGGAGGACCCTGCCCACAGGCCTCCTGAGCCTAGTGGATCAACTCACCAGCTGGGAGCTCCAAGGGTCTCAAAGACACTCCGGCAAGAGAAACCACGAGCAGCCCCAGCCCCGCCAGCCCCAGGGAGGGCACCTCTCCAACCGGGACGGCCTTTCTACACAGGGCTTTAGGTGGCTTGAAGTGACCCGTGCAGAAGAAATCCTGTTGTGGTGGCTGAGAGGGACGCTGCCAAGATCCCCAGCAAGAGCTTTCCTTCGTTGAGCCTCCACAAGGCTCAGGCAGAGACAGGCCAGGAGGCCGAGCGCGGAGACCCTAGGGTTCCGTTTCCTACTCAGAGACTCTGGCAAGTCTGACGATTTCTAAGACCTGCTGGCCTTGGGGAAAGAGCCAGAAAGACCTGCCTGGGTGCTGCAGTTCTTCTCCCGCGCGGCTGACGGTGAGTCTGTGAGGCAGCTGGAGAGCCCTGCCTGTCCCGCCTGGGATGGCCGGGTCCACACGCAGGGCCCGGCAGACAAGTGAGGCAAGGAGAACGGAGAGGACCAGTGGAGAGACGTGTGGGTGGCGGGCACCGGGGAGCTGCCCCGAGGGCCCGTGCAGCTCGGCCTCCAGGAACGGCTACGCTGAGTGGGCGGCTATGGAGGACTGGGGCGTGCTCAGGGGTTAAAGGAACACTGTGATGCCATCCAAGGGCTTTCTAGCTTGTCTTTTGAACTGCCGCTCAGGGACGGTTTAGAGAGAGAGGCCTCAGAAAGGCCGAGTGCCACCCACCTGACCGACTGGGACGAGATGAGACCATAAAAAGTTTCTTCCACACTGGAATTCAGCTGGCGCCCACCTGGCTTCCCCTGCCCTTCCCCCACGAACCTCTGCAGTGAGCCATAGCCCGAGATGCAAAGCCTGGCATAGCCAAGGGCAGGAGTAGCCCCGGCTGCCCTCAGGAGGGTTGAGGAGGTGGGCAGCTGCAGCCTAGACAGACACTCTACCCAGCGGCCGCCCCAGCAGCCGTCGGCGAAGCTCTCAGGGCTTCAGGCCGAGCAGTCCTGGGACCCTGCCATCACCTGGCAGAACAGGAGAGGACCAGGCAGGGTCTCTGGCCTCAAGATGAACAGGACAAAGAGCCCACGATCACGGGCTTATTCCTGAAATCCTAGGGAAGCGGCAGTGCGCAGCGAGGGGTGTGCAGAGAGCTCAAAGAGGAAGACGCCAAGGGAGCGAGTTCAGGTACGGAAGGCCCAGCCCAGTGGAGGGAGGGCGCCGGGAGGGGCCAGACCTACCACAGCTGGGCCCGGCGCTCCCATGCGACTGGGCCTTCCGCCTCACTAACCTTGGAGCCGTGGGATGGTTTGGTCTTCTTGGGGTCAGAGAAGGCAGAGAGTGGAATTGTGGGTAACATGGGGTAGTCGGGACTGGGCCTGGACACCGTGTCTGCTCCTTCGGGCATTACCATCACCTAGTGACAGAGAAGAGACAGTCATTATCGATGGGCAGGGGGCAGGGGCCACGCGGGCCGGGCTGAAGGTGGTGGGGCTTCCCTCTGCAGGAGGGAGAAGGGAGAGCCTCAGTGCTTTCCTGAAAGAGTCCCAGGCGCTTCCCTGCTGGGGACTGGGTGCTGAGCACACAGATGAAGCAGGCATGGGTGGGGAGCGAAGAAAAGCCCAGGGTCCCAGGATGGCTGGGCCCAGATGGGGCCACGCGGCCTTCCGGGAACAGCGGACCGCAGGGCTGGCCCAAGAAGACTTGCGGAGCACACTGAGAATCATGAGAAGGCAGCGTGGCCAAAGCCTGACCTGCATGCTAAGGTTTAGGGGGAACAGCTAAGAAGTGTGAGAGGCCAGCCAGACGCCCACAACAGGCAGGGAGCAACTTCCCGGGGTGCACACGGGTGCAACTCCAGTGGGTCCCACATGCCCAGGGGAATGAGCCGTCCTTGGTGTGCGGTGGCTGCAGCTGACCCGAACAGGGCAAGAGCACCCAGGCTGAGGCTGAGACCAAGGCAGACGACCTGTGCCTACCAAGGGGGCTCTCTGCAAAGCAGGCCAGAATGAGCCAGCGAGCCCGCAGCACGGGGCACCTGCTCCTGTGCTCCGTCAGAGGCTACGGATGACCAAAGTTCTGGGGTCCTTCCAGGAGGGCTCCCAGGAAACACCTGCTGTGCAGGGGGAAGCTCAGAGCAAGGTCTTGAAATACCAACACTGCAAGTTTAGGAACACCACCACAGAGAAAAGCCTCCCAGATGGCCGCAAGAGAGAACAAAAGGAGAAAACACACTTCAAAAAAAAAAGTATTGAAGTTGGTAGAAGAAGCACCGCTAACAGCCTTGAGCACCTGCGGTTCCCAGCCAGCCAAGCCTTTCATCTGAAGACACTGACGTCATGCGGCCATGGGGACACAGGCTGAAAAGAGGGCCCCCAGGGTCCCCACTCTGAGCCTCTTCTCAGAGCCTGTCTGACCGTGATAGCTCAGCACTGACAGCACGTGTGCCCCAGCCATCCCTGAAAACACGCCACGGTGGGCCCTCCGCGCTCTGGGGCACGCACACCTCACAGGCTCACGGAGGAGCCACAGAAGGCCGCCATGCACAGACAGGCTTGCCAGAAGGCTGAGCCCCATTCCCGCTCAGGCCCAATCCTTTGACTCTCATGGTAATCTACCCTCTTTCCCCTCAAAACAATGCCCTAGACTGACTGTTTCAGGATCACGCAGTGTCTCGCTCTAGCACACACCCTTGAGAAAAAGGAACTGGGAACTGAACGCACAGATGACTCCCACCTCCTACAAGGCGCTGCCAGGAGGACCAGGCTCCCCGACGGAAATAAGGACCCTCAGCCACGGGGGCAGAGATAAGACACGGTCCTAAGGGGCACAAGGCTGGACCGGCGGAAAGTCCTACCCACTCTCCCTTGAATTAGCCATCTCCAAGTGACCCCAGCGAGAGGAGCAGAGAAAGCAGCGCTCGCTGACACAGAAAGCAGCCCCTCCTCCCGGGTCTCCCAGCACCGACAGCTCCGCGGCGGGGGCTGCAGTCACCTGCTGCTAGACGGCCACTGCCTGGTCCTGGGCAGCCCCAAGAGGAGCCCCCGCCACTGAGACCTCTGGCTGCTGCTAAGGCTCAGAGCCCCACTCAGCCATCAGCCCAGGGCAAGCCCCGGAGGCCTGGAAAGTTCCTGCCCAGCCAGCCAGCTCCCCAGGCAGCTCACCCTCAGAGGGCAGAGCGCCCAGCGCCTGGGGCAGAGACCCCCCACGGCGCCTGCTGCAGCCTGCGTGCCTCTCTGTGGAGCCAGCGCTCCCTCCTCCTGACAGGCCCTTCCTCCCAACCTCGCCCCACGCCTCCTCCCCGCCCCTGGCTTTTATGTGTTGAGGCGATGGCCTCAGAGCCTTCATCGCTGCGGAGGAAAGGAAGCCGCCTCCCACAGGGAGCGAGGTCCTGGCTGCAGCCCAGAGAGGCCCAGGGAACGCCACTTCCCAAAGCCACGCTGCCACGGAACCTCCGGGGACGCCCAAAAACCCTACTGCAAACGCGGTGAAAACACCTGGCCATGAAAGAAGGTGGAAAAGCGGAGCCAGGAGGACGCTGGGACCCAGCCCCCACACCCTCGGGCCACCCAGCACTCAGCCACGCCGTCCACAGAGACCCACGCTGTCCACATAGATCCACGCCATCCACACAGACCCACGCCGGCACCACCCTCCCCAGATCAGAACCACAAGCGGGACTCTACGAGGATAGCAGCAGGATGCACTCAAGCTTCTACATGGACAGACGCCTCCTTCCTCTTAGGAAAACGACGGCCACCAAGGATCTGACTGTGCCCCAGGAGGAGGAAGGGGGACTCCCCAGCCCAACATCCACAGCCATGGTGCCCCCAATTCACCCAGGAGGCGACCCACTCCACCCGCATACTCAACAGGTCACATGTGCCACATACACACCCATGACACATTCACACACTCCCAACACACGTCACACCATATATGCGTGACATACCACACACACGTCCCACAAGTGACATGACATACATGCCATGCACACACCATACATGACACACCAGACAGCATATGTACACACCACACAACACACATATATACATGCCACACACACCACATGCCCCACGTGTGACACCACACCACTCACCCCATACATGCTACATGTGCCACACACTGTACACGACACACCCCACACATGTACAACCACACCCCACACGTGCATGCCACACCCCACACATGTACTACACCCCACACATGTA